GGAGCCCCCCTCCGCCCGCGCCCGCGCCCCGCGCGCCCGGATTGGCCCCGCGGACGCGCGACCCTCCCACTTCGGGGGGCTCCGAGGACCCGCCCCGCACTCTCGCAGGCTGCACCCAGCACCCTCACTCGCTTCTTGGACACCCCAGGCTAGGGATGGCCCTGATGTCCCGGGTCCCCCCTGGGCCTCCGAGCTGACGGCTGTGGAGCTCAGACGTCGGGCACCGGCCCTTTGAAGTCGCTTTTACAGGCCGGTGCTCCACCAGGGGAGAGATGGAGGGCGGGGCGGCCCAGATGGGGGATGGGGCCGCGTCTTGCTCCCAAACTTCAGGTCCTGGCAGGCGGACCTGCCTTCAGCATGGAACCTTGGGCCTTAGTAGGCCAGAGACACACAGATCCAGGTCAGCAGCAAGCGGTGGGCCTATTCTGGGGGTAGAAACAGAAAGGTGCCCAAACTAGTTTGGAGAGGCCGGGAGGCTGCCTGGAGGAGGTGAACTCTGCCTTATGTCTAGAAGGAAGGTGCTTTGCTTTTCCAGGTATTCCTGCTCCCCCGAGACACTTAGATCATCTCCTAGTCCATCTCCTTCAGGCCAGCTTGTCTGTGAGCCATGGTGCTGACCAGAGAGTTCAGGCCATCAAGTCTCCAGGCTTTCTGGGGAGGAGAGTGGCTGGAGAGGTGGCCATTACATGGTTTGGAGAAGTGGAAGTATTTGGGGCCTTTCTCTCCCAAGGCCTTCACTCCTAATCACAGCCGGGGCTGTTTAAGAACAGCCTTTACAGGTGCCATGGTTTGACTAGAGCCCGGTCCTATCACTCCCTGAAGACCTCAGTCTACACAGCACATAGTAACTGCTTCTATAGACCCAGAGGAGGCCCCTCAATATTCTTGGCAACTCCATGTGTCCTCTTAGCCGAGGGTAAGGGCCCTGAGGATAGGATGCTCACAGGGTGTGGGGTGAGAGGGTCCATTAGATCTCTAACACCTAGCAAGCAGGAGGACTGCTTGAGAGGTACAACACAGAGTTCTCTTCAGCTGGAAGAGGAACAGCATGGATGGTGTGTATGTGACAGTGGTGTGTATTTGGAGGTATGTGCTGTGAGGGGAGTATGCCTGCATCCACAGATCACTGCTGTTGGGCCTGGAGGAGGTTCAAGCTAAGCCCCATGCTCCTGAGTACATATAGTGCTGGGGTACCAAGACATAAGGCAGCCACAAGAGCTGGAGCCCTACTAATGTGGGGATGGGTAATAGCAGGTCACGCCTCACTTCTGCCCTAGTGGCCTTCATGTGTCCCCAGGGCTGATGAGTATAACCAGACGGCTCAGTTCACACATTCCTCATTCATTCAGTAAAAGTGTATTGAGTAGTCTCCATATGCCAAGGCCTGCTGGGCCTGCACAGGGCTGGGGACGAGGCACCCATGAGGGCAGGAACTATGTCTATCTTACTTTCTCCAGCACCCAACAGAGACCCTGGCTGTTAACAAAGTTATAACTGTTATGGAAATTATTGTCTTGGCTCAGACCTTGGCCCTGATTCAGAGAGAGGCAGGGAGGGGCATGAGGAGGCTTTGGGGGGTGGGTGGGTGTGAAGACTTCTGCTCCATCTGTAAATGCCTCTGACTTTCAGGGGATCCCCAAGTGGTTCAGGGCTTGATCCCCAAGCCTTCTGTGTGTGGTTAGGGCTGTCCAAGGCCAGAGGAAACCACTGTGCTCTTTCCTTGATGGGCTGACAGGGCTGGCAGGCTCCAGTAGGAGTAGATGCCCTTGGGAGATGCCCTTGGGCCTGAGCCTAGGAGGAAGGGGAGGGAAGGGTTGGACTGGAACAACCTCAGGCCGAGGGAATGGTCAGCCCAGACTGTGTAGAGTCAGATGCAGCCTTGGGGTAGAGTGAAGCTGATGGGCCACATTCACACTTGAAGTAGCTTTTTATGAAGCCATGGCGCTGACCAGAGAGTTCAGAGGCTGACCTGCTCTGGCCCAATGGCCACTGGTTTGTGGGTGGAGCCTGCTCCATTCAGCCTCAGCCTCTTGAAGCCAATGTGTCCTTCAGCTGTCCTTCGGGGCTCAGCTCTCTTCTCCCAGCCACTAGGCTGGAGTTCACAGACATCTGCATCCTTGGTGGAACGTGCCTTCCTCTTGCCCAGCCTGCAGTACTGATCACTGCAGGGTTCCAGAGGGCATCTAGAGGGAAGAACTGAAAAAGTCCCACTTCTATGTCCTTTCTGGCCCAGCTCCAGACCTTGTGACCTCTGACCACCTAAGGACATGTTCTCTAGTAGTCTGCCACTTGAGGTGAGGTACTGGTAAATCTGTATGCAGATAGGACAGCAGGCTAGGGAGGCCTGTTTGGGCCTCTTGAGGGATTAGAGCTGGATGTTATAGTGATAGGGAGACAGATCAGGCTCTTGGCAGGGTCTGGGAACTCTGTAAATGGTGGACATAGCCAGAGGCATGGGCATCAGCAGTATCCAAGAGAAAGGGCTGGAGTGGTGCAGCCTGTAAGGTGGTTTGGGGACAATGCCTAGCATGTCCAGGAAGAACAGGACTCTATTAAGGAGGTAGCTCAGGTGGCCTCTAAGCTGTTTTTGGTTCAACAAAATACACCCAGGAGGGCGTGGCTGTGGCAAAGGGAGTTTCCCAGCTCCAGTTTTGTGCCATTCAATCCCTCAACAAACAACCTGTGTCTAACCTAGACCTGATTAACGAGAATTGAAGGGTGAGGGTTGGGATACTGGGTGCCATCTTTCTGGGGGCTGAGATGCTGGAGGCTGTGAAGGGAGCCATGGGGCAGAGGGTGGGGGTGGGGGAGGCACACAGAACAAAGCTCATTCTGCAAACTGGGGCCTTGTTGCTGGCCCTGAGCCAGATTCTAGGGTAGATGTAAGAAGAGAAACAAGACTCTTTAGGAAACAGATTCAGGGGGAGGTGGTGGGACTACCCCAAGCTCACACAGTTTTGAGTGGTCATTCTGCAGTGTAGACCCTGTGTGGATGACTTCCTGTTAGATCCTTTGTGTCTCAGCCACCCTGCACTTTCCACCAGCACCCCTGTCAGACTTGCTGAGATTCTGTTTCCACAGAGAAAATCGGTCTGCTCTGGGACCCAACAAACAGGCTGTCAGGTGGCAGGGCAGGACATACTTACCCAACTGAGCCCATGAGGCCCTGGCCCTGAGGCCTGGGAGAAGAAGGGTGTTGGAAGGGATAACATCTCATACAGGAGGCAGCAGACAGGTGGGAGCACAGGAGGTGGCCCGGCCCAGCAGGGAGGTGACAGAACAGTCTGTCAGCTGTGGTAGTGAAGTCCATGGGATTTGGTGTTGTGCAATTGAAGCCTTGGGGTGACAGTCTTAAAAGGCACCGAAGAGTCACCCTTGCCTTAAGGTGGTCTCCATCCTTTTGCTCATCCAGTTGTCAGTCAGGCGGAAGGCACAGGCAGCCAGGATCACCCAGCTTCTCCCAGCCTCAAATGTTGCCATTCTCCCTTTAACCCCCTGTTAGTTACTTTTTGCTGTTGTTTTCCTTGCTGTAACAAAATACCTGACAAAAGCAACTTAAAGAAGAAAGGGTTTACATAATTAAGCTTTTTTTCCCTGTCTTTCTGAGACAGGGTCTCCCTATAGCCCCAGCTGGCCTGGAACTTGCTATGTAGACTAGGCTGGCCTTGAATTCCTAGAGATATGCCTCCCTGTGCCTCCCAAGTGCTAGGATTGAAGGTGTGTGCCACCACACCCGGCTTCAATTAAATAATTAAAAAGCTTGGAAAAATCTGAGCCACAGAAGAAAGCTACAGATAACAAACTTTATTAAAGAAACACATACATACATAGAATTACACAGAGAAAAGCTCTCCACAAGTAGAGAGGGGATTTGGAAGCTGAAAAATCCAAAGCCCCTAGGATGGCTTGGACCTTTTAAGTGTTTTTGGTGGGTTCCCCTCCCATAATTTTGGATTGGTCAACTTAAATAGAAATAGCCCCAGTCACAGCTCCAAGCTAAGTAAGGTATGTTCATGTCTGGCCTTGGTCTTATCTAAACTGGTCTGGATTGGTCAGCTGGAAGGGGGCCTTGCCAGCAGGAGGAAAAGCTTGCCAGTCTTTGTCTCAGACCAAGAAAACGCAGGCAGAGTGTGGTCTTTACTGCTCATCAGTGGTCCTGTCTGCTTATCAGGGATTTAGTCCCTTACAAGAGTGCAGACTATCGTGACAGGAAAGGCACAGGTGGGGGGAGGTGGATGGCCACATTGCATGGGTAGTCAGGAAGCAGAGCGAGGTGAATGCCGACGCTCAGCTTGCTGTCTTGTTTCCCACTTCCTGTTCATTCTGGTACCCCAGCCCATGGGACCCACCAGCACTCAAGGTGAGTTTGCCCTCCCTCAGTTACACCTCTCTGGAAACACCCTCACAGACACACTCAGATATGTGTCTCCTAGGAGATTCTAAGTCCAGTCAAGTTGACAATGAAGATTAACCATCAGACCTCCACATAGAGCCCTGACCCAGGAGCTCCGAGGGTCTGGCTTCCCCTGGCAGCTGGAGGCCTCTGACAGCCCAGGCATTGATCTCCATAAAGAGAAGGTGATGCCTTTTACAAACCGACTCCTAGGCTGAGCAACTGGGATGTGTGCTCATTCTATGACTTTGATGGTTTTGACCATCACCAACCCTGGATGAAAATATGGATGCTCAGCCCTTCCTTTCCCAGCCCAGAAAAGTGAGACACTGCCATTCAGAATGGGCAAGACAATATCAGAAGTGTGGCAACGACAGAGATGAAATGGGCTGCGACCCCAGCAGTCCAGTGGCTGTGGCGTCCCCGTCACCTTGCCATTTACAACTCACTGGGCTTGGACTCCCAGTACAGGTTGTTCTAGTGACACCTGCAGATTCACTCAGCAGTGCCTGGCCAGAACAGTCTGTTCTCAAGCCTGAGGACCCTTCAGTAGACTTTCCCAACCACTAAAGCAGACATTCAGGGCTACTCAGCTGACTGTGGGGGTTCCAGGCCCTGTCTCTATTTCTATGCCTTCAGTAAAATAAAAATGGAAGACATGAAAATAGCATTTCCGGAATTATGGCATAATTTATTTATGATTTTCCCATTTTGTCAACGGATATTTTTGAGCCTTCTGTGTCAGGCACTGTTCTAGGTCTAAGTATTGAACAATTAAGTCTTTGTAATACACACATCCAAGTGTATTGCCTCATTTGGAAAAAACTGCAAAGACTTAAATATCTGGTCCTCCTCAGGATGGCCCCCATGCCCCCGTTGTCCATGATTTTCTCGTTGGTGATGTATGAAGCTTCTGTCCCCTGTTGCTGAAAGGTCATGGAGTCGTAATGCCAATGGGCAGAGGAGCCAATGGGCATCGGCCTATCTCTAGCCCACCCTCTCAGCCCCATCCTTTCATTGGTTTTCATTTTCTTTTTTTATGTTTTGAGACAAGTCTCATGTAGCCCAGGCTAACCTTGAACTTAATATATAACCAAGTATGACCTTCAGCTTTGATTCTCCTTTTTCCTCCTCCAAAGTGCTTCAATTACAGGCCTGTAGCCCAGGCTGGCCTCAGACTTGCTATGTACCAGAGGATGAATATCTCATCCTTCTGTTCCATCTCCCAAGCACTGGAATTATAGACATGTGCCATCAGGCCAATTTTATGCTGTGCTGTGGATCAAACCCAGTGCTTCATGCATGCTAGGAAAGCACTCTACCAACTGAACTAGAACCCTAAGCCCTAGGCCCATACTTTCTATCATTCTGGATGGTGCTATCCCCGGCAGTAGCTCTGCCCAGTGGTACCCAGCCATGGCCAGTGGTGACTGAGTCACAGGCTGGCGAAGACTGTTCATGCTGACTTCACCGCTGGCCTGTTCACTGGACATCCCAACTGTGACCACCTGGTGTGAGCCTGACCTCCTGTGCTTCTGAGAGAATAGGGCAGAGTTATGTTGCTAGAGGCCAGAAGCTACCAGCTGGCCCAGAGGTCTGGGAATGCAGGTGCTAGGGGCTATGGGGATTAGAGCGGAAAGGCCAGATTCCCGCCTGTAAGGGTGAAGCTGGGCTGAAGTTTCTAGAAGCCATTGGGAGAGTACAACAGAGCAAGGTCCATGAGTCAGCCTCATATCTTGGGTGGTTATTTTCTTGGCTCCTAAGAAGCTTCAAATCTTTTCTCACTTCCTCTGCCAAAGCTAGATCTGTAGCTGTGAGATATGTAGCAGTGGGGTATAGGAGGCTGAGCCCTTGTTGGGTGTAGGGCTGAGATTCTTACTCTGCAGCTTTCCTACCTACCCACAAGGGCAAGAATGTTCATGGGACTTGAGCCCCTACTTAGAGGATGCGTGGTCAGACTGGGTGGTTTCTATGAGTTTCCATGTTAATGTGCATAAGGATCAGTGGAGCCATGCCTACCTGCCCCACACGGGAAGTCAGATTGCTCCAAGGGATTGTAAAAGAGGGACTTCCATGCGCTAACAGTTAAAGAAGCTGTCTCATCTCAGGAAAAAGGAAGGAAAAATGGTGGATTTGGGCCTGACAAGTGTTGAATGTTGGAAAGGGCCTGGCTCAGCACTCCAGGATTCACAGACTCTGAGAAGTAGCTGTGTCTGGGGTTAAGTGAAGTTGACTACAAAGAGCTGTGACATTGAGCTCTGGAGCATGAAGCATTGCTGGCCCAGGGATGGGGCACAAGCATTCTCTCCCACGGAATCATGGTGTTCCTGAGCCAGAGAAATGGAATACTTCCACAGTGCCTCATGAAGACCTGCTATTCAAATAGCAATCAGCTGGAAGGCTCAGCTAATCCCTGAGCATAACTGATAGCTAAAGCACTATTACCAAGTTGGGGATTGTTTTTCTGAAATTATAAGCTCACCTTGGCCTTATACAATCAAATTATGCATATTAGTCCAGAAGAAAGGAATTTTGTGTTTATTTCAAAAGACATTTTATGAAATTCATCAGCTACCCACAAACCACAAAGAGTAGGAAATATTCTTAACATTGTAAAGAAGATACAGCAGAATCCAAAAGTCAGTGTGGGACTTAACAGTCTAGAGAGTTTCATTATTGTGAGGATTCAATGTCGTTTTCACCATTGTCCAAGTGGACCTGGAGGTCTTAACAAGGAAAGCAAAATGAAAAGAAGAGATAAGGGATACAGAAAGGAAGTGCTCAGTGAGCAGCGCCGGGGAAAGGGAGGGTTCTTTGCAGAATCCCGTTAATGCTGGTGCCTCTGCAACATCCAGGATGATCAACTGAGATGGAGCAGAATGTGGTAAGTTCATATCAGTATGTAGAGAGCAATAGCGTCTTAAAAGTGTTAAGTCATCATTAAAAACGTAATGAAAACAATCTGCTGTTTACAATAAGAGTGAAACAAAAATAGAAACGAATTTAGAGCCATCAAACTTCGATAAATGTTGAAAATCGATAGATATGAAAGAAAACAAAATAAGGGCTGGAGAGATGGCTCACCACTTACGAGTACTTGCTGCGCTTCCAGAGGACCCAAGTTTGGTTCCCAGAATACCATGTCTGGCAGCTCACAACTGCCTGTAACTCCAGCTCCAGAGGTCTGATGCCCTTTTCTGAACACACTGGGTGCCTGCACTCATGTGTGCCTATATCCCCCACCACAAATAAAAATGTATTTGGATGGGAGGAATTGACACGATGATTATAAAGATCAACTGAAAAGGCAAATATGGAAGAAAACTCAAAGGGATAGGCATCGAAGTATATGTGCAGCAGATCTAAAAGAAGTGTAAATGTGTCAGTGGGGCAGAAGGGACTCCATAATACGTGGATAAGCAAGCATTTTGATTCAGAAGGTAAAGGTGAACTTCATTCGATATGTGCTCGATTCAGCAGCACATATACTAAAATTGGAGTGATACACATAAGATTAGTATGGGCCCTGAGCAAGGAGGACATGCAACTTTGTAAAGTGTTCCATTTTTTTAATGAAACCTACTTTGTAAGCTAATAGAGAGATAGATAGATAGATAGATAGATGATAGATAGATAGATGATAGATGATAGATGATAGATAAATGATAGATGATAGATAGATAGATGATAGATAGATAGTTAGAAAGATAGATAGATAGATAGATAGATAGATGATAGATAAATATAACTTTTAAAAGGAGTTTGATACTACTGACTCCTGAAGCTATAGGTTATTAAATGACAATCCCAGTGTCAGGGATGGGGATAACTCCCCGGGAGTTGCTGGTTAGGGAGATCTGTAAGACTCCCCAGACAACAGGCTGTTGATTGTTCACAGTAACTAAATGGCAAGAGCCTATTACTGAAAACACTTCACAGGATATTGGGGAATCAAGCTGAGATAGGTATTGCTTTCTCCCAGCTGGCTAACTTTCATAGTGCCTGGCAGTGCCTCTCAGGCATCTGGGAGAGAAAAGATAGCAATAATCCAGGTGTGGACCCTGCAGGCTGTACAACTGAACTGCCAGGCAAGAAGAGCCCAAAGGCGCAATCACGAATTGACTGTTATGGGGCAATTAACTACTTTCTAATTTAAAATTCATTACACAGGAGGGAATTCATGCCTGGTACTGTAGGCCTGGTCAAAAGCCTAGGGCTGGGGAGGTCATAGGCCCTAAGCAGGGAGCTACAACTGTTGATTTGCTAAGTGGAAATGATGTACCTGTCAAACTGCCCTCTAAATATTAAAATTTTTTTTTGTCTTTTTGAGATGGGGTCTCCCTGTAACACCAGCTAGCCTGGAACTCACTATGTAGACCAGGCTGGCCTCAAATTCACAGAGATCCTCCCAAGTGCTGGGATCAAAGGCATGTGCAACCACGCCCAGCTCTAAATATTTATCTTTATACTCATAGATTAGTGGTACGCTCGGCCTTGGACAGAGCAGCGTCTTTTGGCAGTGGATGGTGGCTACTGCAGCCTCATAACTGGTCAAAGTGCTGAGGATAAGTGAGAAAAAGTGCTGAAGGCTCAACCCTAAGTGGAACATTGATACCACTTCCTCTGAGGCTTAGGGAGCACCACAGAAGAGAAGGCAGAAAGAACGTGAGGCCTGGAGGGTGGGAGGAGTGCTCCAAAACCCTGTCCAGAAGATCTGGACAGAGCCTGGCCGATGCACTCACGAACTCAGGGCAGCTGTGGTTACCTGGGCAAGATGGGGCTTGTCCACATTCAGACAGGGACAAAGGAGCAGCTCAGGAGGCCCCACCTCTCCTTAAGGAGCAGTTAATGATTGCTGGGAAGGGAGGCCAGTTTTCTTCAGTGGCGTACCACTGTTAAGTTACCCCCCACCACCCACGCTCATACAGGCAATCCTAATTGAACTCAGTGAGTCACACACGATAAAAAAGACAAGAAAGTAAAAGGAGGCTGGTGGGAAGAAGTGGTTCAACAGGAGTGGGAGGAGACAGGAGAAGACAACAGGGTGAATGTGATCAAAGTATGCCTTATATATGTATGAGCTTGTCAAAAATCATTTTAGGGCTACTTGTTATCTATACAAGACAACCAAGGTTTCCGCAACATAAAGCAAGTCTCAAATGGCTTAATGATCTATAGATATGTACTTCTTACATTTCTTGCTGCCACAAAGTACCTGAGAGACACAGTTGGAGGGAGGATTTACTTTGGTGGATGGCATGGTGGCTGGGGCAGCTCCATCCATGTGTAATGGAGTTTGTAACACCGTTGCTCATATCCTAGAGCATCAGGAAGCAGGGAGCTCCAGCAAGAACCAGAAATGGACACCACTTGCAAGACCTACCCCCAGTATCCCACTTCACCTCACTATTCTACAACCTCCCCAAACTGGGGACATTGCCAACTGGGGACATGAGCCTGTGAGGGGCATTTCACATTCAAACCATAATATATTTAATGTGTTACAATACAATTAGATAATATATAAAAAACTCAAATACTTATACTCAGCAAAGGGTTAGTAATCAGGTGTGACTCATACTCTAGAGGCTGAAGCAGGAGAATTGCTATGAGTTCAAAACCATTGTGAGTTACCAAGTAAGACCATGTCTCAAACAGACAAACAACAACAAAAACTAATAATAAGAAGAAAATAAGGGCTAGTAGAAAATATGGATTAAAAACCTTTATAGTTTGGGATAAGAAACCTTTTATTACAGGGCTGGAGAGATGGTTCAGGGGTTAAGAGCACTGGCTGTTCTTGCAGAAGACCTGGGTTCAAATCCCAGCACCCACATAGCAGCTAACAGTTGTCTGTAACTCTAGTACCAGGGGATCTGACGCCCTCTTCTGTCCTCCACAGGCACTGCATGACATGGATGCATTTACACACATGCAGATATAACAATCATACACATAAAATAAAATAAACTTTTTATTCCATAAAGATAAAATACTCTATGTTTTCCTATTACATATGAATTAAGAAATCAGAGATTTATTACAAACTGTTGACGGTTCATTCTGGAGGGATATTTTGCAATGCTTACTTTTATTGTGTTTGTAACTAAAAATCCAAGGACAATAAAAATGAAAATAAAGGGCTAGAGAGATGCCTCAGTGGTTAAGAGCACTGGCTGCTCTTGCAGAGGACCCAGATTCAGTTCTCAGCACCCACATGACGGCTAACAACCATCCATAACTCCAGTTTCAGGGGATTCGATGCCCTTTTCTGACCTCTGTAGGCACTGCATGACACGGGTACATTTGCATATATGCAGGCAATACACGCCTACGCATAAAATATTTTTAAGAAAGAAAAGGGTTAGTACTACTTATGTGATTTAAGACCTGTACAGTACTGCACTCCCATTCTCCTTTTCCTCTCTTGGTGTTAAAGTTCATATGTTTTCTTCTATACATGTTACAAACTCTATAATCAATAGCAAAAAACTTTTTCTAGTACTGGGGATCAAACTCAGGACCCCACATATGCTCGGCAAGCAGGTTCTGCCTCTGTGCTATTTAGCCCTAGGATTATTTTTGCTTTAAGAAGTCAACTATGTGTTAAATAATTTAAGAATTAAGAAACTGTCTTGTATTGGTTATTCTATATGTTTTAGAGACAAAAATACCTCACAAAAGCAACTTACAGCAGGAAGGAAGGTTTATTCTGGCATAGCTGGAAGGCAAGTCCATCATGGTGGGGGAGGCAAGGCAGCAGGAGTGTGAGGCAGCTGGTCACATCATGTCCACAGCCAGGAAGCAGAAAGAGATGAGTGCTGGTGCTTAGTCCACTTTCTCCATTCTCATGCCAGATGCCCCAGCCATGGAATGTTGTCACTCACATTTAACCTAATCTTTTGTTTTTTAACCTGATCTTCCCTGATCAATTGACCTAATCTAGAAAATGCCTCACCGACCTGTCTAGAGGTTTGTTTCTATGGTGATTCTAAATCTCATCCAGTTGACAAGATTAACTATCAGACGTCCCTTCTATTTACTTGTTGCATTTACTAGCAGCCTGTGTTCCTTTGTTTAGAGTTTCCATCAGATATCACTTCCCTTTAGCCTTAAGAACTTCCTGTAACATTTCCAGTATGGCAAATCTACTGCTGATGAATTCACTCAACTTTGTTTTCAATAGAAAAATGTCTGTATTTCTCATTCTGTTTTTTAAAGATAACTTCTCTGGATAAGGAATACTAGTTTGACTTTTTTCCACAGCATATCTAATACTATACTCCCGCAACACGGACTTTTAAAATAGGCTTGATGAGGGACGGGGGTGATGGCTCAATCAGGAAACAAAACAAAGTCATTAGTATGGGATTTTCAGGGCTCTTAAAAAAATTGTTTTGGATTTAGTTATTTTCTATTTTATATGTATGAGTGTTTTGCCTACACATATGTAGGTGCACCATGTGCATGCAGTGCCTACAGAGGCCAGAAGAGGGCACTGGCTCTTCTGGAACTGGAGTTAAGGACAGTTGGTAGCCACTATGTGGGTGCTAGGAACTATACCCAGGTCTTTGGTGAGCAGCCAGTCCTCTTAACTGCTGAGCCATCTCTCCAGCTCCTATCCACCTTGTTTTTTGAGATAGGGTCTCTCACTGACCTGGAATTTGCCAAGTAAGCTAGGGTGGCTGGCCAGCAAGCTCCAGAGATCTGCCTGGCTCTGCCTTCTCAGTTCTGGGATTACAAGCATGCACTGGCCCTGGATTTTTAAATGTAGATTCTGGGGATTGAACTTAGGTCTTCATGCTTGCAAGGCAAGCACTTTATCAACTGAGCCAACTCCTTATCCTGTTCTAAGGTTTGAATGGAACATTTGGGATGTTCAGCAGTTCAGTAAGGCCATTTCCCTCTGGCTAATCAAAACAGGCTCCAGCACAATATGACCTCTGGCATTCTTATTTAGTTTACAGACTCACAGAACATTTTACCTATCCAGGCTCCTGAAACCTGCACATGTGCACCTTAGGCAAAGCCTCAAGAGGACATGCATGTAGCTTTCTAGGGTTCTTTCTCTGGGCAGCTGCTTCTTTGATTCCCCTGCCCCACAGATTTTAGCCACCCCGGCTTACTATTTCTGACCCTTTCCTCCACTTAGTGAAGCCATTGTGCTGTTTGGGCTGCTTTCCTCTGCCATAGTCTGGAGAGTCCCAGGCAAAGAGCATTGGTGGGCATGGAGCTTACCTTGGGTGTTTTGGTTCTCGAGAATATGAGCGATCGCACATTCAGTGTTTACAGTCAGTTGCTGGAAATATTTTATCTAATTTGGGAGCTCCTTTACAGGAGAGAAAACTTTTTGTCACTCAGTTGGAACCTAAGAAAAGTTTAAAAATGTAAAGAAAGGAAAAGGAACCAGGAAGCCAGGTCTGTTGGCTCTACCCATCTCCAGATCTTTCTAACTTGGCACCAGAACTGGACTGAGTAAAACTTCACATTGTGGCCATGATGGGTGAAACATGTCAGATGACTCCTCTGGCCAAAAGCAACTATAAAAGTTATTCAAAATATATAAAATAG